CTACCTTTTGACTAGGGTTGACTAGCCTTTGTAGCTCCTACTGCCCTCATGATGGAGGTGAAGCCCTGTTGGCCCTGTTTTTGTTGTTGTGAGAACTTCACACGAAAGCTTCCTTTGGAACAAATCAAAAGCACATGTTGCTAGATAACCCCAGATGTAGCAATGGACAGCAGACATCTGGAGCCTAATCATCCTGCATAACAACATGCTTCTTCCCTGGGAAAACAGCTCCCTGTGACCCTCCTACCTGCTCCAGGAAACCACCGTGCTGTCCTCTGTTGCTCTGTCTGGACTGCCTGGGAGTTTCAATGTAGAGGGACCATTAGTGTTTGCTCGGCTGTGCCAGTGTCACTACATTCTGCTCGATGTCCTCAAAGTTGATCTGTATAGTTGCTTAAAACAAGATTTCCTTATAATTATTGTAATGATACTGTAACAATAAAATACTGAAGTGAGTGGTATCCAGTGTTTATCTGAGATGAGAAAGAACAGCTGTTTGGGATGCAAGGATTCCAGTAGAAGCCCCAATACTGCTCTGACTGGGGTGAAGGCAAGGGGAGTTTTTGAACAAGGAAAGGATGCATGTACAGGGCCAGAGGGGAGGAACTCCTATCATTGCCAACACAGTGAGTGAGTCTTTAGCTGCATATGATACTGTGAATTCTAACAGTTGTCTGCAAATTTTAGCGCCATAGTCAGGATGCCTCTTTCTTGTTGTGCAACAGTTGTGTGAAATGCAGTGTTGGGAGCCCACTGCAAAGGAGACTCTGCTGAGTCCAAGCCCTGCAGAGGTAAGCAAAGAAAGTTGTGTCAGGTGGTTTTCTGGAATGGCTGACTGTGCTTCATTTTAAGATGGCACCACTGTTGTCATATTCTCACAGTCAGAACCCTTCACATATGATTTGTCCATCACAGATTCCTGAAGGTGCAAATAAGTGTGGCTTATTACAAACTCATGCTCTACAGAAGACCTGCAACCTGACTCTGCCTCTCACAGGAAGTACCAGCCAGGGAACATCTGCTTCCCAAGCGCCTCCTGCCATGGTGCAACCACCGTCCTGCTCCCTGTGTCCATGAACTCCACTGATTGTGAGACCTCACTTTTATGGGGTCACGGAGAGCTAGTCCTCCCTGAGGGCTTAGTGGACATGGCCCAACATCTTACACTGTCCTCTACATTGTTACTCCTGATGTTTTAAGGCTGAGAAGTAAGCTTGCATTGTGAGTATATAACATACTTCATGGTTACATCCCCTGATGGGCATTCAGATGTTTTCCATGCCTTCGTCATGGTGGGTAAAGTCACAATGATGAAGGATCTCTCTCTTCCAGACACCAATGTATTCCATTAGAAGAGAGCTCTGGATGCTGGGTTGGTCGTTATGTGGGGCTTCTGTTTTCATGCTGTGGGGAAATGCCACACTGCTTTCCAAGTGGCTGCATCATTTGAGCAAGTGTATATTTTGATGGCAGGCTTAAGTTTACTTTGATTGTTGTTTCTTCTCTTTGAGTAAGTTTATTCTGTGGTCAAGACAGCGACCCTTTACCAAATATGCAATTTGAATGTATATTCTCTGTGTGTGTGGCCTGTCTTTAAATACTTTATCAGAGTTGTTATGGTATCAATTACAATGACACATCTCCAAGGCCCTGGTGCAAGTCACCGTGATGGAGGAACCCATGGGAGGCCTCAATAAATAACAGTCCATGAAAAACAGGTAGGCTGGCCACTCACAATTATCCCACTGTCCCCATAGAGCACAGCCAAGACACACAGCCACACAGTCATATACAGTACACACTGGCACACACAGTCACACATGCAGAATCACACATTGCCATACATGCTCACATACTCTCTTGAGCACATATACACACTATTGCACGCAGTCTTACTTGTGTTTTTGAAAAAGACACAACACTTGAGCTGTGATATGAAAGTCTTCACATTACTTAGTCTCTTTTTCAAAGGTGGTCTTCTCTAGGGTCAGTATGAAGGAGTTTTGTTGATGTTCCTTATGTGGACTCCATGTCCACAATAGTGTTTCACACTATTTCCTCTAAAAGTTGTCACTGTGTTTTCCACATTAATCCCCATCCTTAAAATGCCTAGGGCAGATGGTTCTCATGCTAGAATTGCTACAACTTGTACTTAATTGATGACCTTAACTAGCATTTATATGTTTACCTCCTACAGTAACAATGATTATAAATATAATTGTGTTTGGAGTCGATGTCATACAGAGAATACGCATGTAGATCTATAGCATAAAAATGTACTTATGAGCAATTTTGTACTTTTGCCAAAACTGTGGGCTGAAAGGTATCCCTCAGTCTTGTCCATAATGTGTTTACCGGTGAAATTTCCTTTAAATTGGTGGCTCAAGAAAAAAAAATGTTTCCCCAATTTGGGTGTACACACTCCACTCCACTGAGGGACTGACTGGACAAACAGAGAGGGTGGAGAATTAAGCCATTCCCACCTGTGGGCTGGTTTCTGTGGTTAGGACAGCCGTCTTTACCGGCCCTGGTCAACTTGGTTCTCAGCCTTCAGACCATGTTGACTTGCAACAACAGATCTTCTGGATCTGTGGCAAGCAAATGCAGCTCATGGTACTTTGGGATGTCTTGCTGTCCATAAAGTAAGCATCAATTCCTTATAAATATAAGGGTAAATATGCATGTTTTTGTTCTCCTTCTCTGGAGGAACATGGCCAATTCTATCGTGAAGCACACAGTACACAGGTTTGCCCAAATTTCCTCATCAGAGCCTACACAAATGTTAACATGAAACACGACTGGGAACTTGGCAAACAAAATGGAGGCTCTCAGTAGTTAATGCCATGTTAGACTTTGCACACTGTTCCTTTACTTTCCCTGTGCCATAGGCATGTGAGGCCCATTGACAGTAGTGGATACTAGAGAAGACTCAAAGGAGATTGATGAAGACAGAATAAAGAAAACCACATGACACGAGAGGTCACTGAGGCAACTTCATCAGACTAAGCTAAGGACAGGCCCCAATACACTGGTCCTCAGTGGTTTGTCTTACAAAATATTTTTATCCATTCACCTTGGAACATATCCCATTTTCACTTACCTTCATGTGGGAATATTCTTAATGTTCATTTACTGAAAGGATACAGACATATTTGATTAATCAGATTATGGTGAACATTTGCTCAGAAAGGTTTTTTTGCTTGATGCAGGTCCCAAAGGTGATAATACACTATAATAATAATAAAAAAAATATGAACATGGAAGATAAATATACACTAGGGGAAAAAAAAACATTTTGTGCTGGCAACAAAATTAACACATGCTTGATAAATGCAGCACAGGCCCAAAGTCCTCTGGACAGTGGGGACTCTCTCAGTGTTCTGAAAGTAAGGAGCCACCTGTGATGTTCCCCAAACAGAAGAAAAAAATGCTCTTGTATGTCTGGCCAACTAAGAGAGAACTCAGTGCCTGCTGGGATGTGGGATTTGAGGACATGGAGTCCACATAAGGAACACCAACAAAACTCCTTCATACTGACCCTAGAGAAGACCACCTTTGAAAAAAAGACTGAGTAATGAACAGAGGTGCCTGGGTTCTGACCCTGAGGCCTTGGTCAGTGCAGGAATATCCATGAGGGTCAAACCTGAGACCCAGCTGCAGGAGGAGACACTGGTTCCTGCAGAGATTGAAATATGCAGCTGTGGATCACTGAGCAGTAAGTCTGTCTCCATATCAGATACTGTGGTCTGAAGTCCATAAAACAAGTGGTAGAAGGGAAGATAATCAAAAGAATGGAACATCCAGAAAAGAAAAAAAAAGGTGTCCCTCACATCACAGTCCATCCCTCACTCACTGAGGGAGTCAGACCCAGGCCTAGAATCCATGTGGAAGCCCAGCTCATGTGGTAGGAACAGGGGAGAAAAGAGACCTGGAGTGTGTGTGTGTGTGTGTGTGTGTGTGTGTGTGTGACTTATAGAGCAGTAGATATGCAATGAAATCAGGTTCACATGCTGGGATCCTCACATAGGACCTCTAAGTAGAGTAACTGGGAGACATCAGAGGTCCCCAAATACACCGAGAACTTCAAGACTTAGAGATTTTGTCTGTGTCAGTTCATCTGGCAGCTCCAGGGAGGAGGGTGTTTTGTGATTCATAGATCCCTGATTATGGGGCTCCCTGCAGAGTCACTGGGGTTTAGTACAGCCAGTTTGCTGTGTCCAGAGATGTTGAAGCACATGGCATCCCCAAGGGAGCATCCTGAAGTTAATGTAAATCCATGGGAGGTCTGTGCCCATTGAACCCAGAGAAGATCCTCCTGTGCAGGGCCTGGGGTTGGCATGAGGTGGCACGGGGGACCCATTATTTCAGGGCAGATGCCCCAGGAGAAGGTGTAGTCAGAGCTGGTGAAGGATTTTTTTCTGAGGATATGGGTCTTTTTTTTCTCAAAAACCAAATAAAATAAAAGTGGACATTAGGTGACTAAATAACCCATTTAATCAGAACTCCATCAGAGCATTTACCAAACTTGATTAGATATGAGAACGACAGTCTATGGTGTATTTCTAGGGCTTGTTATATCTGACTTGTACAGAACTGATGGCATGGATGGCTTTATTAACTCATTAGGGGCAGAATTTTGGAGATACGCTAGCCAAGCAATTAGACATGCAGTTACCAAAGCTGGACTGGTCCAGATGATCTCTGTGTCACTCAAACATGTGTTCACAATAAGGAGCTTGTCCTTTGGAGACTTGTTCCTCAGAGGGAGGATCTATGCCAGCATAGAGTTCAGGGACTCAGCAGAGGGCTTGTATCCAGTAGCAGCGATTCAGATTTAGACCCTGAGACTCTGACTAAGAATGATCTCTATGTCCTCTACGTTCTCCCAGGGGGAGCCAAGTAATTATCTGTGAAGTCCTCTTTTTCATAATTATGCAAATTAGAAATCTTAGAATAAGCTAAATGTGACTCTGTCTGTGCCCTGAGAGCATCACCCAGAGGCACACCCTCCCCTACAAAAGTCCTGCCAGCACAGCCCCTAATCATGGACTGGATTTGGAGAGCCATCTTCTTGGTGGCAGTGGCTACAGGTAAGGAGATCCCAAGTCCCTGGATTGAGGAGGGGACCAGGGAGAGTCGAGAATGATTTCCATTCACTCCTCCTTCTTTGCTGCAGGCGTCCACTCTGAGGTGCAGCTGGTGCAGTCCGGGGCTGAGGTGCGGAAGCCTGGAGCCTCAGTGAAGGTCTCCTGCAAGGTTTCTGGATACACCTTCACCAACTATGTTATGCACTGGGTGCGACAGGCCCCAGGAAAAGGGCTTGAGTGGATGGGAAGGGTTTACCCTTACAATGGTAACACAAACTACGCTCAGAAATTCCAAGGCAGAGTCACCATGACTGCAGACAAGTCCTCGAGCACAGCCTTCATGGATCTGAGCAGCCTGAAAGCTGAGGACACAGCCCTGTATTACTGTGCGAGAGACACAGTGAAGGGAAGTCAGGGTGAGCTCAGACAGAAACCTACTTGTGGGAGACAGGAGGGGCAGGGCTGCAGGTATGTAGTGGGACACCAGGGGGCACACAGGTCACACTGAAAATAAACCCAGGGGCAGGTGTGGAACTGGTGAGGGAGGAATATACTTCCTTTTAGGAGCAAGGATTTCCTCTCAAAGCTTCCAGCTGCATCTAGAGACACTTTTTTCTTCGTGGTTCTCATTTCCCACATCCTCACCGCAGACAGCAAAGGAGGAAGTGCTACTGTCTGTTTGCAGAGGAGATCCCCCCCTGTGCCTGGGACTTTTCTTCACCACGCTCCTGTGTGTCATTTTCTTCTTTGACAAAGAAACACCCTGAGTGCTCTCATCTTTGTCATGGTTGAGAAAATTTTCCCCAAATTGGGGTCTGAGCCTGTCCAGGACCCTGTGTGTTGAGCTCAGGCTCTCTGTCCTCCAACACGATGTCCTCACACCTCTCCTTCCTTCTGACACCTCTTCTCCTTGCTCTGTGATGGATGTAATCATCCCCCAGGACTACCACCCTAGAGGTCTCTGTATTCCTTGCCACACATTACACTGTTGCCCCTTATTACTGGGTGGATAAGAGCATGCTTCCCAAAATCTGTTTCAACAACTGCGGTATTTTTAGTCTGATTTTCTTTAGTTCCATTTTGAACTGATACATTATTCCATTTATGTCCCTACCAGAAAATTCAGGATAATTTCCTCAGGTCAACACCTTTAACTTACTCTCCACTAACTTATTAATATCTGTAGAGTCCTGTTATACATGACAACACTCATGTGTCATAGAAGCAGGAATCTGGATGTTGCTGTGTGTCCAGGTTCAGCCATCCTGCTTCTCTGAGGATCTGGGTCTCAGCTTCACCTTAAGAATCTGTGGACAGGCTTCCTTCCTTTGATACTAGAAGTTGTCTGGGAGAATGTGTGTGAGTGTGTGTGTGTGTGTGTGTGTGTGTGTGTGTGTGTGTGTGTTCCCACGTGCACGCGCGCACAAGTACGAGCATGTGCACATGTGTTAACTTGATTGAACATAAATTTGTGACTGTTTGCTATGTGCTGTGTGTGCATACGTATGGTTTAGTCTCTGTTCTGAGTCTCCCACAGCTCACAGATGAAGGATCTTCCTACATGTCAATGAGAACGGCGCCCCAGGGAGCCCAGCCTATTAGAAAGCCTGTGTTTCCCTCTCTGTCAGCTGGGTGTGGCCCAAAGATCAGGAGTGCATAATGGACACACCATGCTTGGGGATCATCTTCTTGTTAGAAACTGACTTTTGACAGCTTCAGGTAATGCATTCAAAGGGGTTGAAAAATGAAGTTCCCCTTACTCAAAGTCCCCTCCTTGTCTCCAGGTGTCCTGTTCCAAGTGACCTGCATGTGTCAGGCTCAGGACTGGTGAACCCCAGAGCGGGTTGCAGGGAGGGCTGCATGGGAGCCAAAGTTAATGTTTACCACAACTCTCCTTACAGAGCAGAATTTTGACCCAGGGACATGTCCCAGATCCAGCTTCTCTTACAGCTGAGCTCCATGACCACCAAGGACATGGCCTTAGGTTACTGTACCATTCACATGGGGCAAGTCAGTGCCAGACCAGACACCAAAGTCAGCCTTGAGGGGACAGGGGTGATGTTAGGCCCAGGGTTGGTCAGGACACTGGATTCCTGATGCCAGTGTCTTGGGCAGATGCCGAGGGAGTGTGGGGAAAGGGTTCTCGAATCAGCCTGTAGTTCCTGTCCTTGTGCAGAAAACTCCTTCCCATAGACATTTCCTCCTATTCTTGTACTTACTAAGCACCTGCTGCTTTATTCACTAGTGTGTCTGCTAATGTGTGTCAGTGCACGAGCAATGTTACATGATCGTGAGTATGTGTGCTGTGGACCATGATGTGTGTTTAACTTTATGTGTGTTTCATATATATTTTTTCTTCTAGAGTATAGCTTTTAAAGATTGGAAGGGAGGAAGGAAGAATGATAGAAACATCAATGTGTGGTTGCATCCAGCATGACCCCCACTGGGGAATTGGCCAGCAACCTAGGCATGTGCCAGGACTGGAAATTGAAGTGGTGACTCCTTGGCTTGAAGACTGGCACTCAATCCACTGAGTCACACAAGGCAGGGCATGTTTCTAACTGTTTATATACTCTTAGTGCTGACAAGATTTTTACAGGAAAGTAAAGGATTAATGTTTCCTTATAGAATTTCATAATTTTCAACAGACTTCTCAGCTGCTGGCAAATTAGTCTGATAACATATCTTACTATACCTGCTGTTCCACGGTATCTGTATACCTTTTTTTCCCTGAGCCTGGGATCTATAGGCATCATGCTGGGTGTTTGGGCTGTGTGTGGCTCTGTGCTCATTTCTCAGTTGGACAAGGCTGCAGACAATATTGGACTCTTTCTCTGCCCTCCCTGTCCTGGCCCCTAGTCCCATGGACCCTCTATCTGCTGACAAGCCTGTTTAGGCTCAGGGCTGGTGGACCTCAACTGTCATCTTGGGGCACACATGAAACTCAGAAAGGGCTATCAGTTCAATGCTCCAGACATGGGGACCCCTCTCTCCTGCAGGAAACAGTCCTAACACCACAGTGGGAACATGAGACCCTGAGGCCTGTGATGTGCCTCTTTCAACTCCTTCAAGATTTCCTCCTGGATCCAAGGGTTTCACACTTCACTGTGGGTGGGGTTTGCATTGGGATCGTGTTGGATTTTAAGAGCAGTCCCAGGGACCCAATGCCTTGGCCCTGGTATTCAACAGGACTCATCCATGATCACAGTGGTCAGACAGAGCACATGTTCAATTAAAAGATCCTCTACAAAGAAACACATGACTTTCTCCCAATTATAAGTAAATGCCATGTTGAACTTTTCAGTCCCTAAAAAATGTGCACAGAGTGACCATATTTGCTGGTTTAAAGAGTGGACAACATCCATCTTGTTCTCTTAGTGTTTGACAAGAACACACATAGGCACACACACAACTACACACTGTCACACACAGGGACACACAATCACAACAATGCAGTCACAGTCACATTCACAGAGCCACACAGTAAACGAAGCCATGCACAGTAACTCATTGTCACTGGAAATCATACATTAGGAGTCACACATAGCCACGCACACTGCCACCAATGGCCTGCACTAGATACACACAATCACACACAGTCGAGCACTTGATTTTGAAAAGACATGCATTCACACATGAGTGGTGACACAACACTGTTCATGTCATTGTACAGCATTCCCTCTAAAATATGTCAGGGTATTTTCCACAAGTTAATGCCCAGTGCAGGAGGTCCCCCTGCTACAAGTCCTACAACACATACTTAGTAGGTGACATTAACTAGCCTTTATTTTATGTGTACCTCTTACAGTAGCACTTTTTATAAATAAAATTATGTGTTTGGAATTGATGAGATACTGAGGAAAAAAAGCAGATCCAGAACTGAAAAGTATAATTATGAGCAAATTTGCACTTTTGCCTTAATGCTTTTCAGGAGCCTATTAAAAAATGCACCAAATCTCCAGGTAATAGCAGAGATAACACACCACCAAAACTTGTGTCATGATACAAAATTATCACTTCTTTATTTCCATAACTGCAGTTCAGCATGGCAACCTTGCATTTTAACCTATAACTGTGTTCCCTACTTATCTTTATAAAGTTAGTAAAGTGTATAATTTAATAATGGTCAAATGGATAGGGAGAAAATTTGTGTAGAAATGCCCAAGGGAGTTTACTGGGGGTTAAAGTGAGGGAGAACCTCATGATCTGCTTAGTGGCCCCATGTGTCACTCCCTCTCTCCTCTATTCTCTGCTTCTCTTAGCAAAGAAGAGGAGATAAATGAGGACAGAAGCAGAAACCTCACCACAGTGTATTATAAAGTAGTGTGCTGGTGGTGTCTGAGACAGGACTAACTGGATGGGACTACATTTCTCTAACCATCACAAATGTTGATCATCATTTTAGGTGCGTGCTGGCCATTTGTATCTCAACTTTGAGAAATGTCTATTTCATTATTGATCCACTTTTAAGTTGTATATAAATATCATCATTCTGTACTGTGTAGATATAAGGTGGGCAGCATAATATCTGGACCTACTTATCTTGTGAAATGATTACCAGAGAAATATAGTTAAAATCCTACATTCCATATAGGCACATGGAGTCACAAAGGAGAGAAGAAAACAAGAAAATATGGGTTTCTTTGTGCTGATAATTTTTTTGGATCTATTCTCTTTAGCAAAATTCACACATACCATTCAGCAGTGTTATATCAGTCATCATTCTGTCCATTATATCCCAAGGACTTACTTATCCTGCTACTGGAAGTTTGTTACTTCATATCATCAGCATTGGATTCTCCCACTGGCCAACCTACACTTCTGGTATCCACAAATACAGACTTTTAATGATTTTTTAGGATCCACATACAAGTGAGTTCACAGAGTATTTGTCTTTGTCTCTGTCTCACTTACTTTGTCTATCAGTATGCCCTTAGGGTCCATGTATCTTGTCACTAATGTCAGGGATTTCTTTTTTTCATGGTGTGTGATATTCCATTATGTATCTTTTCTTTTTTTTTAATTTATAAATCATGTTTATTCTATTACAGTTGTCTGAATTTTTACCCCTTTTACCCCTCAACCATTCCACCTTCACCCCTCTCTCCTACAGTCAATTCCCACTCTTGTTCCTGTCCATGGGTCACTCATAGATGTTATTTGTCTAGTCCCTTCCCTTTCTTTCCATCACTGTCCTCTTTCCCCATCCCCTCTCGTCACTTCTAGTCTGTTCCATGTCTCCGTGCCTGTGTTTTATTTTGTTAATTAGTTTATTTTTCTGAATAGAGTCCACATATAGGTGAGATCATACGGTATTTGTCTTTCATCAACTGGCTTATTTAACTTAGCTTAATATTCTCCATTTTCATCCATGTTGTCGTAAAAGGTAGGAGTTCCATATT